TCTCTCAGCTGAGTGCAACCTTTGGTAAGAAGATGGTCCATGCCTTATGCCTTGTGATAGCATCATCTGGGTATTTCTCTGTCCTCCTGTCTATCATGGCTCCAGAGCTGGTGCTAAGGTGGAGCCAGCGAGGCTTTGAGGCTCCTCACTTTCAAGAGTCAGGCATTTGGGCAGGGGAGGGAGGGGTTGGAAGTGTGGGGATGAAGGGGATGGTAGGGAAAAAACAAAAGAGGGGGTAACAATGCTTGATAGGAAATGGACTGATTACCTTGCTCATTTAACTGTAACTCCTCTGTATAGTATCTTCACAATAAAAAAATATAAGACATATAATTAAAAAAAGAGTCATAAAAGTGTCAGCCTAGGGTCTAAGTCTCCCATGGAAATGTCAACGTGTGGGGTGAACAGGGTCTGTGTGTAATCTTCAGGGCCTGGAACACATCCACTCACTTTGTATCTAAGTTGTCTAGCTCATATTCTTTAGATGATGTGTTGCTTGTCCAGGGACCTCACAGACTTGAGTCTGGTGAAAAGTAGGTAGATGGGTAGATGGGTGAGCCCAGGGTAGGAAGGAAAACTGACGGCGGGGGGGGGGGGGGTCCTTCTCTGGCTCACTAGCATCATTAGTAGAAGTTGCTTGTGGAAGTCTGAACTTGTTTTTTTTTTTGTTTTTTTAGTGTTTGGAGTCAAAGTTTAGGAACATTAGAGGATTGTACAGATGACAGGAAAGAGCGGGTAGGCTTCCAAAGGCCGTGGCTCTGAAGCTGGGGCTGAGAAGACTCTTTGGGAAGTGTCCCCAAGCAAAACCATAAACTCTTGTGCCTGGCCGGGGGCCATGTTGCTTACTTGGGACCATGTTTCTCAGGACTGGCCAACCATACAAAAAAAGGTGTCCCAAATAAACATATTTGAAGTGATTTCCAGAAACCCAAGGAAGAAAACTAAACGCAGAGAGGAGAGAGAGGGGTATAGTCATGGTGGCTCAGTCCTACATAAGAGACTATTTGGGAGATGGGTCTGCAATTTAAAAAATGTATAGAAAACTGGGCACCAGTGGCTCATACCTAGAATCCTAGCTGCTCAGGAGACTGAGATCTGAAGATCGTGGTTTGGAACCAGCCCAGACAAGAATCTTACCTTCAGTAAATCATCTAAAAAAGCCAGACGAACTCAAATGGTCGATTGCTATCCTTGAGCATAAAAGCTTAGCAACAGTGCCCAAGTTCTGAGTTCAAGCCCCATGATCAACACTGACACACACACACACACACACACACACACACACACACACATGCAAAGAGGCTAAGGGAGTGGCTCAGAATCACAGATGTCTAACATATTTCTGTGAATTGCCAGGGCAGGCATCAGTTTATGTGGCTGGGAACCAGTGAGTCATAGTCCCCGAGGAGTGTCAGTGATGCATCAAGGAGGTTTCCCAAGAAGTAACAGAGGAAATCTCTTTGTCTTTCGCCACCTGGAAAGGTTGGTGAGCCCAAGGCTGTTTCTTTCTTTCTCTTTGACTAGGTGGTAGATTCGGATCAAGCTCACAGCCCACATGGGCCAGGGAACTCTTTCTAAAAACAAGTTGCCCACTTCCTCCAGGCAAGAGACCCAGCTGCAGGGGTGGGGGCAGGGATGAGTGAGGATGAAAAGGGGGATTGGTGGTGGACCCCCTTCCCTCCTATGAACAGGCCTGACAGGTACCACACCTCTAGGGGGGCACCATCACTGCTTCTAGATCTTTCTATCCACTACTGGCAGTTGAGAACCACAGCAGGGCAGAGAGGGAGACACTATTATGTTCTCTTTGAGAAGAGGGAACTCAGGCTCACAGAGCTTAGGCAGGGAAAGCAAGGTTGTTTCAGACCTGGTGTTTTGGGGTCTTCATGTGGTGACATAATGATTTCCATGGTATAGATTTTTTTTAATGATCACTTAGGAACAAATTAGCTCTCCTATTTGTCTTTATTTGTTGTCATTTTCATTTATTTGTTTTATCTATTTATTATCCTTAAGTTGTTATACAAAGGGGTTTCGATGCAATATATCAGTTTATGAGTATTATGTATTTTTAAATGATTTTTGTTGTATTTTTTTAAAATGGTTTTTGTTGTTTTTGTTCTGGTACTGGGTCTTGAACTCAGGGCCTAGACACTGTTCCTTAGCTTTGTGCTCAAGGCTGGCACTCTACCATTGAAGCCACACCTCCACTTCTTATCTCCTTAATTCCATGTTTCTTTTAACTGTAACAACAACCAGAGCCATTTAAAACAGTTCGTTTTTCTCCCCAAAGACTTGTTCCTTCCTCATTACAAAAGTAATGTGATTGTTAAAAAAAAAATACTGACAACGCACAAAAATTGAAATGCTGATTTTATACATAAGCGCAATGTTCTGTATTTGGATTTTTAAAAGCAAAAATCTCAATTCCCTTTTCTAAGATAGTAATGGCTCAGAATCAATTCTTAGAGATCATTCTCCACACATCTACAAACATAAATGCCCAGAGGTCTCAATATGTCATTAAAGCAAATCAAAGTTGAAGAGCAATGAGCTTAAAATGTTTATACCTTATGTATTACATATTTTACACATCATCTTCTATAAGATTTCAATTTTCTGCTTAAAGATTATGTGCACAAAAATATAGGAGAATGAGGCACTTCCAGAGATCAATTTTATGTGTTTCTACAGTGTATGTACTTGGATTAAAAAAATCTGTATCTCTTTATTGAAGTAGAATAGCTGTATATGGAAGTCAACTTACAGCTCAGTGACATTTTGTGCATCGATGTGACCACACCCAGAGGCAGAAGGAGCATGCGCCTTCCCCGAGCCTCACTCTGCCAATAGTCTCTCTGCACTAAAGCCACCATGTCCGGACTCATGCCTGTCTTGATATCTTGTTTTATATCTCTGCTTGAATTACAACAGTGCACATGTATTGTCCCATGTTTTGTATTAAATGAGAATAATCAGTACAAATATTGTTAAAATCTGTGTATATGTAGTGGCTATCATTGGATATATAGCATCTAGGAAATTCCTTCACAGCTGCAAAGAGTCCCTTATTACACTATATATAAAATTTTATTTATTTTTATTTTTTTCATCATGGGGCTTGAACACTGGGCCTGGGTGCTATCCCTGAGCTCTTCAGCTCAAGGTGAGCACTCTACTACTTGAGCCTCAGCACCACTTCTGGTTTTCTGGTGGTTTATTGGAGATAAGAGTCTCACAGTCTTTCCTGCCTGGGCTGGCTTTGAACCATGATCCTCAGATCTCAGCTTCCTGAGTAGCTAGGATTACAGGCGTAAGCCACCAACGCTATGTTAAACATAGCTAAGGCTATGTTAAATGTATCTAATTCTTACCTTTTTTATTTTTTTGATCATGGGCTTAGTGCATGCTAGGAATCTGGTCCCTTTTGGAGTGTTTCCTACTGAGGGTTCTGCTTATGTAGAACCACACAGAATAATTTGATATGTTGTTCCTTTGTGCTTGCCATTTGACTTAACAGAAATGCCTATACATGGAGTTGCTAGTCAGAAGATAGCTAGATTAATTTTTTGCACTTTTATACATATTGCTGGAATGGCAGTTCTTTCTATAGTACAAAAGGCAGGTGCTGGGTGTAACATTGTCACCACAGCCCCCACTTCTAGTGGTCAAAGTTGCTCCTACTGCCTGAGCAGCTTGGAGTTAAATTTGCCTCGGCATACCTGGTGGCCAGCCCAGCCCCACCTGAACTTGTAAAGCAGCGATTTCGAAGATGACAGCCAGGAGACACGTTGAATGTCAGCTCCTGCAGTGGGACCAGGGCTCGAGGCCCATGCTTACTTCCACTGTGGACTGGGTTTGAGCCCAAGGAGGGCAGACTACGTGCAATTGGGTTGTGTCTCATCATTTGTACAACACGGCCAAGGCTAGAAGTCTAAATTAGCAAGCTGGAGGAGTCAGGTCCCTCCACCCCTGACCCTTTCCCCTTCTCATCTCAGCAGGACTGATGGGGAGAAAACCTTCGCTTTCCCAGCACCATACCATACCCAGTTCTACTGCAGCCCCCCCTCAGATGCTGGGAGGTGGCCATGCTGCCTCTCCCCGATGGCATCTTTTCTTTTCTGCCAGAACTAAGGGTTAAACTCAGAGGTTTGTGCTGTTCCTTAGCTGAAGGTTGTTGGAGCTCTACCATTTGAGCCAAAACTACTTCTGGCTTTTTTTGCTGGTTAATTGGAGGTAAAAATCTCCCCAATTTGTCTACTTGTGCTGGCTTGGAACCTTCATCCTCAGATCTCAGCTTCCTGAGTAGCTAGGATTACAGGCATGAGCTGTAAGCCAGTGCCTGGCTTGCTTTCTTGTTTTGTGTAACATTTTTATATGCTGAACACAACCTCTGAACCTCTTAATACAATAGTTCCCACATGCTTTTCTCTGAGCTTGCTGGGAAAACAGGTGGGACTTTATTCTCTTTGAATACCCAAGTTGCACTGGGCTTTAACTCCATAGTTTCTAGACAACCAGGGGTTAAGACCCAGGCTCTCAAAAGGTAAGAGGCTTCTCTCTTCCCACTCCAGCTCTCCATTGCTCCTTTCATGTTCCTATTCTGACCATTAAAGCTGAGAGGTAATAATCAAATGAATGCACAGAGACTCAGATGTCTCTCACCTTTTCTTTGGTGCAAGACTGTCTTGATGCCAGGATTCTGGGGACTCAACCAAGAGTGGATAGGGTATTTGGGAGTGAGCCTAGAGAACATGCTGCTGGAGACACTGATGGCCTGGCTCTGGTACCTTGGACATTTCTAACCTTCCAGCTTTTTCTACATCTACCATGGGAATTACAACAGGCTTGGGGGGTGGGCAAATAAAGATCTTGGATACAAAATGAAGTCATACAAGTTTTATCTTTGTGTCATTTCAACTGATCATCAACATCTTTACTGTAGACAGGTTTTTCCTCTTCATTTACATCACAGGAGCCACTTCTGTGATTGACTCAGATTTTATTTTTATAGCTGACACATTCATAGCAACACAGAGGAGAAGAAAGGAAGAAATGGAGGTTGGGAAATTTCCTGCTGGGAGAAAAAAGTGACATATCTTTCCTCATGGGTTTCCCTCTCTAAAGGAAGACCTGAGAGACTCACATGGCTGTGTGGATGGGAAGTCCTAGGGCTGTTGTCCCAGTTGCATCCCACAAGTAACCCAAGAGTCAATCAGGACAAAGCAACTTTCAAAGATGGTAGCTGGACAGCTACCACTCAAGGTCCCAACCCACCCAGGACAAGTACAGGAACTGGCAGTATTGCCATGGTAGCTGTTCTTAGTTCTCCAGCCCACTTGTGAGTGTCCTAAAGCCCCCTTCTAAGACTCCCCGTGGCTCAGCAACAAGTCGCCCTGTGCTTGAGGTCCACAAAAAGAACTAGCAGCAGTTCAATGCAGGATGCTTGAGCAGGGTAGGGGAACCAGCATTGCCGCAGGTGTCCCTTTTGTCTCTTTTGCGCAGATCTTGTGCATGACTGACCACAGTCTTTTCATAGCCGGATACCAAGAGCACAGTCTCTGGTTATTTGTGAAACCTGCAAACAACAGCAAGTTGTAAGATCACTTATTTTCTGAGCAAATGGTACCATATTTTCTGTAGCAAGAGACAAATAGCAAGCTGGGTTCTGGTGGCTCATGCCTGTAATCCTAGGTAGTCAGAAGGCTGAGATCTGATGATCACAGGTTCAAAGTCAGCCCAGGCAGTAAAGTTTGTGCGACTCCTATCTGCAATTAACTACCAAAAAAGCTGTAAGTGGAAGAGTGTGAGTGGGAAAAGCTCAGGGACAGCATCCAGGCCCTGAATTCAAGCCCCAATACTTGGGGGAGTGGAGGAGAGGGAGAAAGAAAGAGAGAAATAAGGTAAATAAGGGGGAATCGGGTTCTAGCATCCCAGGGACCAAGCATTTTGTGCTAGGAAGTTTTGGGGGCTTACCTCAATCATTTAAAGAAGTTAAAATATAGCACACAATCTCTAGCTTTGAACAATGTTACTTCCTGCAGGGTCTTGTAAGGTGAGTAATTCACAAAGGCACATTAAGAAGCAGTTGAGGGGATGGTTCCCACTGGACAGTCAAAGGCCGGGAAACATCTATTTCAAACTGCAGCTGGAGTTTGGAAGAGCTGATCTTCAAGACCCAGGGACTGTTTTGGCCACATGTAGGTCATGATAACAAACCCATCAGGGCTTTCCAAGCTTCCTCTATGCCGTAAACTCTTGTTCAGATAATATCTTCTAAGTAAACCCCAACAACAGAGAGCAGAGCTGTTCCTAGTGAAGAAGGGTAGGGTGGGGACTGCAGGGACCCCCAGGGCTACTCTGAGCTTTTTCCTTGTCTCAGCTGCTTCTCAGGAACCCTGGCTTGCCAAAGCTTGAGACCTTACCTCCAGCTTCTCCCAAACTGGCATTAGATCACCAGGAACAGATTAACAAAGAGGATATGTGGGCACAGACCACAGGCAGCACCCAGAGTAGGCTCTCTCACCATAAAAGGTCATCATGGGGGAGATTTTGAACAGAACTTTCGGGGGGGTCTAATTTAGACAATTATGCTTAAATTATTATATCTTAAGTGAGGTGGAGGTTAGTAGTTTCTAAACCAACCCATAAAGTGAAATTATCATTGTACATTGTCCATAAAATACAGCTGCATGCCAGTGCTGGTGGCTCACTCTTGTAATCCTAGCTACTTGGAGGCTGAGATCTGAGGCTCTCAGTTGAAAGCCAGCCTGGGCAGGAAAGTCCATGAGACTCTTATCTTCAATTAACCACCAGAAAATCGGAAGTGGCGCTGTGGCTCAAGTGCTAGAGTGCTTGCCTTGAGTTGAAGAGCGCAGAAACAGCAACCAGGCCCAGAGTTCAAGCCCCATGACCAAGCCAAAAAAAAAAAAAGAATGAAGGAAAATGAACGCCAAGATATGGAAACAAGAGTTTTCTTTTTGTTTTTTAATGTACTATGTGTAGTTAGTTCTTTTTTTTTCTTTTGTTTCCCCCCCCCTTCGGTTTATTCCATTGTCACTGTATTTGATTTTGGTACCTTGTGTCTTGTATATAGGTTTATCTGATTTGGGGAAAGGAAAAATAACATAATGGAGAAGCA